CTACAGTGAAAATCTCTCCAAAAAAAAAAAAAAAATTATATTAAAAAACACATGGAGGGACCAGAAAATGGTGTAATGGTTACATCTCTGGACTCCTATGTAGTCGACCATAGTTCAAATCCTGGACTGGACAGGTTAAAATTCACGCTGGGCACATGTGCATACATGTTCAAAATCCTGAGAGGAGAATGGAGGAGAAGGAAGGAATTGTGGCATGGCCATCCCCCCTTGAGGGGTGATTTCTCACTTTAGGTCTCTCTGTCTATCTCTGTCTCTCCAGGAGTACACAAGCCTTATAGCAAAATTCTTTCAAAGAAACAAAAACAAAAACAAACAAAAAAATATGTGAACCAGCAGGCGATGCGATGGTTAAGGTGCTGGACTCCCACATGACCAACCAAGGTTCGAGTCCTGGATCTGGCAACTTGAAAATCACTCTGATTGTATGCATGCGTGCCCAAAATCCCAAGAGGAGAATGGAGAAGGGAGGAATGCTGCATGGCCATCCCTGGGAGGGGATGATTTCTCACTTTCTCTCTCTGTCTCTTTGTCTCTCACAGAAACCTAAAAAAAAATCCAAAAGAAACCCCTACATCACACTAAGTTTACCATCTTCATCATTTTAAAGTACACGATTCAATGAGGTCAATTATATCCATATTGTTGTGCAACAGATCTCTAGAAGTTTTGCAACACTGAAAGTCTCTACCCATTAGACATGAATTCCCTCCCCTCTCTCCCGACCCCTTGCTTACCACCCTTCTGCTGTCTGTTTCTAGGATTTTTGACTACTTGCAATATTTCATATGAGCGGAATCAGACAATATTTATGTTTCTGTGACTGGCTAATTTTACTTAAGATAATGTCCTTAAGGTTCATTCCTGTTGTGGCATGTGACAGGATTTCTCCTTTTTAAAGGCTGTGTAGTAGTCCACTGCCTGCGTGTAGCTCATTTTCTTTATCCGTTTCTCTGTGGATGGGCATCCAGTTGCCTTCGCCTCCGAACTGTTGTGACTAAAGCTGCTTCCCAGCCTCTCCTGAAGCCCTGTTCTCTTTGTGCCCTTTTAAGTCTAAGTGTTTCCAGACTCAGACGAGGAGGGTCCAAAGGAAGTGTGCTGGTCACCTCTTGCTTTGTCTTAGTTAGTGACTGGCCGTTTACATGCCCCCTCCTAGGAGTTAAAAACCAAGGACGACCAGTATGTGAAAGATTTGAAGAAACAGTCGGATGATATCTCCCTGCTTCTGGAGAGGATGGAAGAGCAGGTGAAGAGTGTAACGAAGACCTTTCGTCACGAGATACAGCAAGTTGAGGTACTGGGCATAAAAACTCTCTGCACCTGAGAGGCCCCTGCGGGGAGAGCGAAGTCTGCCCTAATGGTGGAGAGCCCAGATGGCCCTGTTCTCTGACGTCTGTCAGCTCCGGGGTTTCACACCATGTACTCACTCACTCGCTCACTCAGTGTTCATCACGTGCCCGCTGTACGGCAGTCCCTGTTCCGGGGCTGGGGATGGAGCCACGAGCAAAACAAAGTCCACTGTGGGGCTGTGTGCTAGGAGGAGACAGCTGGGCAGTGAACAGATAAACTGCCAACTGTGCGATCTGACAGGTGGTAAGAGTTGCTCTGAAAGAGACAGTGAGTGTCCAGGACACTGCCCACACAGGGAGAGGTGTGGCCAGGAAGGTGGGGGTGGTACCCTTTAACTGTGAGGCCTATGTGAGCCATTTATTGGATTATTTATGGCAGTTGGGGTAGGGGATGGGGAAAGGGAAATAGGATTTCGGGAATCAATATTTTGAAGTTGGGTGACGTGTTCAAGATGGAGATTTAGGCTCTTCCAAGGTGGAGGAGAGTCATGAGGGCGGGGGCCTCTTTCTCTGGATTTTGGAGACTGGTTTTGCAGGTTTGCCTTACGTGAGCGGCAAGCTGCCTTTGCTTCATGGGAGCCCCGACTGGCAATGTGTCAGCCCTAGGCATGGCTGAGTGACTGCCATCAAGAGCACTGGCCTTCCTCCAGCTCCCTGACTCTGATATTGACCAAGCCATGGGCTCGTTGGCACGGTTCCTCTCTAAATTTCTGTGAAATGCCAACTTCCTAACACCTATCTATTCATTTATTTTTTAGAGAGATTTTTGCTGTAGGGTACATGTCCTCGCCAGAGAGACAGAGAGACAAAGAGAGAGAGAGAGAAAGAAAGGGCGAAATCACCCCCCAGCGGGGATGGCCACACCGCAATCCCTTCTCCTCCATTCCTCTCTCAGGATTTTTGGGCACGCACACACAGGTGCCTGGTATGATTTTTCAGGCTGCTGGGTCTGGGACTCGAACTGTGGAGTTGGCCGTGTGGGATCCAGCTACCTTACCCTCCACACTACCTGCTGGGCCCAATAACACCGAATTTTTATGCATCTCCTTCCGTAGCCATTCGCGAGTTCACATTTGGATTAGCCTTCGTGTGGTTGCTGACAGGGCCCTCGCACAGTTATCTAAGAGTTCTTTGATATGGTGGGAACTGTCTAATCGAAACAGACACAAGGACCCTTCCCTTCTTGGTTGTAGAGAGCATTTGAGGTGGAACGGCAAGAGCTACTGTCCAGTAATAAGAAGAAATGGGAGCGGGCACTGCAGGCTCACAGTGCCAAAGAGGTAAAGGGGTGGCAGGACTGGGAGGGGATCCGGGGCGATCTGTGGAATCTGGGGCAGTTTCTACTATGACTGAATCTGCTAGCCTTTTTGCATCTTGGGTAGGATTGTCACGGCATAGGTTCACTACGGACTTCGTAGTTAATCTATGGCCTTGCAGACAGCAGTTCTCTCTTCGCTGGTGGGAAGTGCCACCTTTGTGGCCTGCTATGGTTCACATGGCCCTATCATTTTTCCTTTGTTTCCTGAGTATCGTTTACCCAAGCCATGGATATTGTGGCACAAGAAGGAGTCTTTTTTTTCTTTCTTTCTTTCTTTTTTTTTTAGTTTGCTAAAGGGTGTATGTACTGTCTGGAAAGAAATGAAGTGGGGGGGGGGAGGAGAGATATCTCCTTGGGGAGATGGCCATGTCACAATCCCTTCTGTGTCATAATCTTTTCTTCTCCATTTTTGTCTTGGGAATTTGGGTATGCACACTTACCTGGTGTGTTTTTTAAGCCACTAGGTCCAGACTCAAACAGAGCAGTTGACCATATCCGATCCAGTTGCCTTCGCCATCACAACACTAGTTGTCCCAAGAAGATATTTTTCGACACATTTATCTTTTTTGGAGAGATTTTTGCTTTAGGCACATGCACTGGTCAGAGAGAGAGAGACAGAAAGTGAGAAATCACCCCTTAGCGGGGATGGCCAAGCTGCAGTCCCTTCTCCTCCAGACTCCTCCTGGGATCTTGGGCACGCATGCACACATGCCTGGTGTGAGTTTTAAGCCACTGGAACTGGGACTTGAACTGCGGTTGGCCATGTGGGAGTCCAGCGACAACCACTATGCCATCTACTGACCCCTTAAGACACATTTTTGAAAAGGGCGTAGGAATTACACTTGTAAAAGACAAAGAAGCGACTTGCCCAAAATCTGGTGTATGTTTTAGAAATCTAACTATTTGTGGACCAGAAGATGGCATAGGGGGAGGAGAATAGAGAAGAAGGGATTGTGGTGTGGCCATCCCCACAGGGGATGATTTCTCACTTTCTGTCTCTCTTTCTCTCTGTCTCTCCGGCAAGTTCATGTGCCCTACAGCAAAATCTCTCTTTCAAAAAAAAATCTTATTGTAGAATCTATGTTTAATATCTTATTGTTTGTAAAGTTTATTTTTATTTCATGAACAAGCGAGGGGAGGGGTGAGGGCAAGGCCCTCTGCAGGCTCTCATGCTGCGATTCCCCAGCCTCCAGCCTCCAGCTCCCAGCCCGGCAGCCAGCGGGATCACAGCTGCACACACCCAGCCCAGCGTGCCCAGGTCAACCGGAAACTGAGCCCACCCTTTCGTATGGCTTCCTGCATGGCCTTGTTGCTGCACCGCCACAGCCAGACCTGTCTGTGCTTAATTTCTTAAAAAGAAAAAAAAAATAAAATAAACTTCTTTTTTCAAAACGGAGCACATGGGGCCGGCAGGCAGTATGGAGGTTAAAGCAGCTGGATCCCATTTAGCTGACTCCATGGTGCAAATCCTGGACCCAACAGTTTGAAAATCACGCAGGGCACGTGTGCATACCTACCCAAAATTCCGAGAGTAGAATAAAGGAGAAGGATTGTGGTGTGGCCATCCCCTCCAGAGGATGATTTCTCATTTTCTGTCTCTCTGTCTCTCACCGGTGAGTACATATACTTTACAGAAAAAAAAAAATAGAGCATGTGTGTATGTATGGGGGACGGAGGAAGAGAGGGGACGAGAGAGAGAGAGATGAGCACCCCCACAGGGTCTGGTCACCCCACGATCCCCTTCCTCCAGTCTATCATATGTGGACACTCATGTATGTGCTAGCATGGTTCAGGCTGACCAGGCCGGGATCCTGCTTCTTAAGGTTTTTGTCATAGGGCATGTGCCCTCACCAGAGAGAGAAAATGAAAAATCATCACACCACACCCCACTCCCCATGGCCATGACATAATCCCTCCTCCTCCAGTTGCCTCCTGGGGTATTGGGCATACATGCACACACACCCGGCGTGATTCTCAAGCCTCCGGGTCTGGAACTTGAACCGCGGACAGCCATGTGGGAGTCCAGTGCCTTAATTGCCCTGGCGCCTGCTAGCCCCCACCTGGGCTAGTTCCTAATAGTCTAGAATAGTTCTCTTGGAATTTCTGGAGTAAGGATCTCGTTAAGCAATACAGCCTTGACTAAGGGTTCAAAGCCTTGGTGCTTCTGGAGGCTTTGGGGCTTTGGGGGCTTTGGAGGGAGACCCCAGAACATCTCTGGAGTCATGAAACTCCCAAAGCCTGGACTATGTCACGCTCGTCAGGATTGAGTCGGGCCGGGGAGGTCCCTCATTGTCCCCTGGTCTTCCTGTGCCTTCAGGGGGAGTATCTCATGAACCGCATTAAGAAGGTGGAGGACTACGAGAAGCAGCTCAAGACGCAGCGGGTCTGGGACTGCGAGGAGTACAACAGCATCAAGATCAAGCTGGAGCGCGATGTGCAGGTGGGCGGGGCCGCGGCGGGCGGGGCGGAGCTGGGCGCGGACACCTGGGCGTGTTCATTTCTCAGCGACCACCTGGCATGGCCCAGAGACAGTCCCTGCCACAGACGTTTGCTTATTACCTGCCTTCTTTCTGATGAACACATCTAACGCAGCGTGTATACAGGATATACGTGAAGGAACGCTTTTTTTTTTGTTAAAGAGACATTGTTGCTGTAGGCACCTGCCCTCACCGGAGAGACAGAGAGAGACAAACAGATAGAAAGCGAGAACTCACACTCACACACACACACACACACACACACACACACACACACCAGTGGGGGCGACCATGCTGCCCTTCCTCCATTTCCTCTCGGGACCCTGGGCACCTACGCTCACGCGCCCGGTGTGAGTTTTAAGCTGCGGCTCCAGGACTCCCACCGAGGTCAACCATGTGAGAGTCCAGCAATGTAACCGCTTCGCCGTCTACTGGTCCCAGGAACGCTTTCTTTAAGAAGTAGTGGCGGGGGAACCAGCAGTTAGCGTAATGGCTATGTCGCTGGACTCCCACGTAGGCGACCGCGGTTCGTGTCCCGGACCCGGTGGCTTAAAACTCACACCGGGCGCGTGTGCGTGTGTGCCCAAGATCCCGAGAGGAGAATGGAGGAGAAGGGATTGCGGCGTGACCATCCCCCCTGGGGGGTGATTTCTTGCTTTCTGTCTCTATGTCTCTCTCTGTCTGTCTGGCGAGCGAACGTGCCCTACAGTGAAAATCTCTAAAAAAAAAAAAAAAAAAAAAGAAGTAGTGGCGGAAAACTGGCAAGATGGTAAAGGAGCTGGAAACTATGGAAGTGAGGAATTGGTGAGAGGATTATACATCTCCTGGCCGAGAGAGAATGTCCCCAGGGCTAGTTAGCTGTGTCTGAGGGCCAGAGCTATTAATAGTTTCACGAGTGCTAATAATAGCAACCACCGAATGCTCCTCTGCTGTGTTCCATGCACTTCGTGTCCAGTAGCTAATCCTCACCCAAGACAGAAGGGAGAAATCACTAACAGCATTTTCTATGGCCGGAAATGGAGGCTCAAAGATGAGGCAACACATCTAGTACCTGGTTAACTCTGGAGTTAACCCAGATATGTCTGCTCAAAAGTTGTGTTCTTCCCATTATCCCACCTCCCCTGCCTGAGGGCTGGACATTGCAGTGAGGCAGTCACTCACCACCCGATGCAGAGAGGGCGTCCCACAAAACAAGAGTCCTTTATCTTAAAGTATTCAAAGGCTGAATGATTGCCTCTGTCTTCAATGTTGAAGGATTCCTGCAGTAGGAGGAGGTAAGACTGTGGTTTCTTTTCTTTTCCTTTTAAATTTTTTCCTATAGGGCATGTGTGTTTGCCTGAGACAGACAGAGACAGAGGGAGAGAAGTGAGAAAGCTCCCTCTGCCGGGATGGCCAACCACAGTCCTTTCTCTTCCTCTAGGGATTTGGGGCATGCGTACTCTCCGCATGTTTTTCACGTTTCCGGGTCTGGACTCGAACCATGCAGTTGGCCATGTGAGATCATACCACCGGCTGGCCCAGACTTTGTGGTTTTTAAAGTTCTCTCTAGGATCAGGATTCTGTGTTTCAACATCAGTTTTAAAAAAGACATCTTGGACCAGCTGCTGGCGTGGTGGTTAAGAAGGCATCTGGGGGGCCGGAAGGTGGTGTGATGGTTAAGGGCGCTGGACTCCCATATGGCTGACCACAGTTCAAGTCCTGGATTTGGTGGCTTGCTTTTTCACTCTCTCTCTCTTTCTGTCCCTCTCTGGTCAAATTAAAAATAAATAACTAAAATTCAATACAATAATTCTTTAAAAAAAAAAAAAAAGAAGAAGGCATCTGGATCTCATGTGACACACTGGATAGTTTGAGTCCTAGACCCAGTGGCTTGAAAAACAAGCCAGGTGTGTGTGCGCCTAAAACCCTGAGGGGAGAAAGGAGGAGAACGGATTGCCTTCTTGTAGCGTACCTCCTAGACAGTGCTCTCTCACTCCGCCACTCCTCCAGGTCTCTCTCCAATGAGCACACATACCCTATAGCAAATTTCTGAAAAATGCATCTCTGATTGCATTTACATATAATGTAATTCCATCTTAATATTCGAGCATGGTCTATTCCTTTTAGTCTCTATGTAGAAAAACATTAAAGCTTTTCCACGAAGACTTTGGTAGACTCTTAGTGCTTACTCTTCCTGTAGCTTTGTATCATTAAGCTAAATAAAAACTTCCTTAGGCCACAAATTGATTTTCTAGCCTCCTTTTTCTTTCTTTTTTTTTTTTTTTTAGAGGTTTTTGCTTTAGGGCATGTGCTCGCCAGAAAGACAGAGAGAGACAGAGAGACAGCAGAAAGTGAGAAATCACCCCCCAGGGGATTGGCCACGAGGCAGTCCCTTCTCCTCCATTCTCCTCTCGGGATCTTGGGCACGCACGCACATGCGCCCGGTGTGAGTTTAAGCCACCAGGTCTGGGACTTGAACCGCGGTCAACTACATGGGAGTCCAGCGACATAGCCATTATGCTAACTGCTGGTCCCAATTTTTCAATATAATTTTATTTTAAATTTATTTATTTACATTAATTCACTGTACATCATTACAGTATACAAAATGAAATTTTCCATCCAGAATACACTGTATATTGGCTCAATCAAAGATATTACCATACGTGTTATCATCAACAAGTAATTTTCCATTTCCTGTTTCTTCTGTGTTTTACTTCTTCTCCCCACCTTGATTTCCTACCTCTCACCCTCTGCTATTTTCTGCCCACTGTCTCTGGTATCTACAGTTGCTTTCCACGCCCCCCCCCCTTTTTCACATTTTACTGATTCACTAAAGATCTTAATTCATCTAAGTACTTTCAATAGCAAGGGCAGTTGATATATAAATATCCATGAACACGTGTCTGACTTTAGGCATAAACCTCAGATGTCTTAGTCTCTGAAATGGGCCGCTTAGAACTCAAGTGGATATGGCTGGTGATTGGCTTCTCCTGGCTAGATCTGGGGGGCAGGTGGGTGAAGTCGGCAGAAAAACCTTCAGATGTCCTAGTCCCCGGAACAGGCCGCTCAGAACTCCGCATTTTCTAGTCGTAAGACTTTTCCTGGGTCCCGCTAAGAACCGCTGTCAGGGAAGTGAGAGTTACTGACAAAGAACAGCGCGGGTCTGGACAAGAGCAGCCCTGACGATGCGGCCTGGACGTTTCATGATCTTGTTGAAAATGGCTGTTGTCAAGGTTTGGGAATTCATCTTGGTCATATGACAAAACTACATACCATTGACCTCAAACAGTGAGATGGATAGAATCTCATAGTCTCAGTCCAATGTTCAAATATGTGAATGGAGCCCAAATTTCAGCACCTAGGGAGCTGCTGGGGGGAGAGCAGGGAGTGAGGTAAGACTAAGGGGTCAGGACAGGGGCTGGGACACCTTGCTCGCCTGGCTGCCCTTGTCCATATGGACCGATGGTGGCGTGTGTCTATGTGGGAGGCAGGCAGATGGAGACATGCGGAGTGAGAAAGAGGTGCAGGCTTTTGTATCACACTTCTTTCCAGTGCTACATGGAAGCCAAGGGTGTATGTACCTCCTGGCACCCTTCAACTGGGGGAAAAAGTCCTACCAAATCACGGACTACCCGTATCTCAACATGTTGAATATTTCCGTAGATTGAACTTCATATAGTGCTTCTTTGGTGTCTTCAAATCAAATGGCATTGATTTTTGTCAAGAAGATGTATTATAGCATGCAGTTCTTTCCAACTAATTCACGGTGCTCCATCAGTTCTAAAAGACAGGCCTAAAATTCTCAGAAACCACACAAATAGGAAGGACCAATACACACAGATTTGGTCTAATGGGTAAAGTTCAAGGAAAATAAAAATAATCTACAAGAAAACTTCAAAAAGTTTGTGTCCAATGGAACTGAAGTAAGAAATATAATTAAAGAAAAAGATGTGACCAAATTAGTTTCAGTCGGAGCTTTGTAAACTGTGATCAGCCAGGTGAGATATTAGAAGTGGTGTCACGAAGCTAACAACTAAAAAGGTCAGGCTGGCGATATCTCTTTCCTTTTGACATACATAGATTTTTTTTCTTCTTAAAAAATTGTTTTAAAACAATTGTTTATTTAATTTAATTTATTTTTATTTTTCAATTCACTAGAGAGAGACAGAGAAAGAGAGGGCAAGAGAAAGGAAGTGAGGAAACAAGCCACTAGGACTGGGACTTGGACTGCGTTTGACCATTGGGAGTTCAGCACCCCAACCACCATACCATCTGCTGGCCCTTCAGATTTTTTTTAATTGCCAGGAGATATTATCCAGAAAGAGTACGTATTTGCCAGAGAGACCCCAGTGGTGCGGGTGACAGTGCAGTCCTTTCCCCCCATTTCTCCATTCTGTGAGGACTCTAGGCACGCACACACATGCATTTAAAAAATATATTTTATTTAACTTTATTTATTTATTTTAATTTGACCAGAGAGGGAGGGATGGAGTGTGAGAGTGAGAGAGAGGGGGAAAGTGAGAAAGCAAGCCACCAGGTTCAGGACTCGAACTGTGGTTGGCCATGTGGGAGTCCAACACCCTTAACCACCATGCCATCTTTTCTGGGATGCAACACATGCATTTTTTTCAAGCTTCCGAGGACCAGAACTTGATCTGCAGTCAGCCAGGTGGGATGTGGCTCCTGTGACACTGTGCTTAATTGTTGTATTATGGGGCTGGTCCCCAAATATAGTTTAAAATATATTATGTAGGAAAAAAATACATAGTCCATTTATACAGTTATTATTAACATCATAATCTACTCTTAAGAATGAAATCCACCTGAGAATTCGTGCTTTAGAGCTTGCAGGTATAGCTTACGGGCTATTATTGCGAGTAGATTTCCAGACAGCCCTGTGGCCCACTATGCTTGGGAAATACTGTGCTGGGGATAGGAGCTTATAGCAAAGCGACCAGAAGGAGGGCTCCCGGGGAGTCGTCAGAGCAGACCTTCAGGCACTCTGGTTTCAGGACTCCCACAGACACCATCCAGAGAAGACTAGAACAGCCACAGGTGGTCCTTCCCAGTGCAGAGCAGCTCTGGAAACTCTCCTTCTCTGGGAGTGTCCCGCCCTTTTCATTGTCCCCATCCATCTGGAGCCTTTCTGCTGGACATCTGTGCTGAGCCATCTCATGGACCAATGGCCTCCCCTTATGTCTAGCTCACCCTTGTGGGTTTGTGTTCTGGTTCCCGACCCCCTCAGTTGTGAACAAGTCATTTGGGAAGCAGCGGGGCTGGTTTCACTTGAAGAACTTAAATAATTTGCATAAACCATTGCAACTTTGTAAGAATTGCCAAAAGTCTCTTTTCCTGGTAGTCACTCAGGGCCATCAGTGGAAGGTGACAGAGTCCGGGAAACTCTTCTCGGGACCACCCAGATAATTGCCCTTAAATGAGGCTGTGCCATTAGCATCTTCCATAGGCCCTTGACTCTATTTTTCATATTTAATTTCAAGACTAAAATTTATAAAAATAATTCTTTAAGTTTATTTATTATTATTATTTTATTTTACTAAGAGAGAGGAGAGAGAGAGAGTGAGGAAGCAAGCATCCAGGTCTGGGACTTGGACCATGATCAACCATGTTGGAGTCCAGTGCTCTAACTACCATGCCACCTCCTGGCCTCTCAAGAGTAATCTTTTTTTTTTTTTTTTTTTTTTTTTTTTTTTTTAAGAGAGATTTTTGCTATAGGGCATGTGTGCTTGCTGGAGAGACAGAGAGAAAGTGAAAAGTCACCTCCGTGGGGGATGGCCATGCTACAACTCCTTCTTCTCCATTCTCTTCCTGGGATTTTGGGTGCACATACACACACACCCATGAGTTTCAAGCCATTGGGTCCAGGACTCGAACTATGGTCAGACACATGGAAGTCTAGTGCCTTAACCACTATGCCATCAAAACTAAATTTTAAGGGTCAGCAAGTGGCATGGTGTTTAAGGGCGTTAGACTCCCACATGGCCAACTATAGTTCGAGTCTCGGAGCTAGTGGCTTGCTTTCTCACTTTCTCTCTTTCTCTATCTCACTCTGTCCCTCTCTGGTCAAATTAAAATAAATAAATAAAAGAAAAAAGAAACCAAAAAACTAAATTTTAGGTGGCATGGTGGTTAAGACACTGGATTGCCACATGGCCAACTGTGGTTCGAGTCCAGGACCTGGTGGCTTGCTTTCTCACTATCCCTTTCTCTCTCACTCTTTCTGTCTTTCTCTAGTCAAATTAAAAATATAATAACAACAAACAAATAAATAAATAATTCCTAAAAAAAAAACAACCCGGGGAACCAGCAGCAAAATTGTATATACAGTTTATCCTAGGTTTAGTTTATGATAATGAAAATGACCTGAACAACAAAAATAATCGACTGTAGGTAAGTGGTGAAATATTATGATAAATGATAGCCATGTTACCTTATTTTAGATATAGGAGAAGGGATTGCGGCGTGACCATCCCCCCTGGGGGGTGATTTCTCGCTTTCTGTCTCTATGTCTCTCTCTGTCTGTCTGGCGAGCGCACGCGCCCTACAGTGAAAATCTCTCCAAAAACAAAAAACAAAAAACAAAAACAAAAACAAAACAACCCAAACACTAAATTTTAATCATGCTCAGGAACAGGCAGGTGTAACTGGTGGGCTTCCCTCAAGGGGGCGATTTCTCACTTTCTCTCTCTCTCTGTCTCTCTCCAGCCAGCACATGCACCCTGTGGCAAACTACCCCACCAAAAAAACTATTATGCCCCATTCAGATGATGTTAATAAGGGGGCAGCAGGTGGTGTGGTGGTTAAGGGCACTGGACTCCCACATGGCTGACCACAGTTCGAATCCCAGACTGGAGGGGGGGAGGCTTGCTTTCTCACTTTCTCTCTCTCTCTCATTCTTGCTCTGTCGCTCTCTGATCAAATTAAAAATAAATAAATTAATAAATAAAGTTAAATAAAATATATTTTTTTAAAATGATGATGTTAATAAAACTTTACTAACCTGGACATAAGTTGCTAAATATTTAAAACTGCCATTCAGGAGCATCAAAGTGGGAAAATTCGAGCTTGTGTGTCAGTAATAACGTTTATGGTATTCTTAGTGGGGCAGCTCAGATTTTTTTTTATAAGTTGCTAAATATTTAAAACTGCCATTCAGGAGCATCAAAGTGGGAAAATTCGAGCTTGTGTGTCAGTAATAACGTTTATGGTATTCTTAGTGGGGCAGCTCAGATTTTTTTTTAAAATTGGCTTTTGTCTTTTTTTTATGAATTTATTTTACATTCTTTCACTGAATATCACCATGGCATACAAAATGGGATTTCCCATCCAGAATACACTGTAAAGTAGCTTGATCATACATGTTTTCATCAACAAATAATTTTCCATTTCTTGTATATATATATTTTTTTCTTTTTTTCCTCCTATTTCTCACCCTCTGCCATTTCCCATCCTCTTCCCACTCTGTCTCTGGTATCTGCAGTTGCTTTCCATTCCTTTATTCTTTCCCACATTTTATCGATTCACAAAATATCTTAATTAATCTAAATATTTTCAATAGTAAGTTCAGCAGATACATACATATCTGTGAACACATGTTGACTTTAGGCGTGGAACTCTGTGGTTAGAATGAATATACTATAAAGTAGCACCTAGCTGAGGCTATATAGCTTACTGTGGTCATTAAATAGGGTTTTTTTTAGAGCAGTTTTTGCTATAGGGAGCGTGCGCTCTCCAGAAAGACAGAGAGAGACAGAGAGATAGCTTGTCTCTCAAGCTACTGGGGCCAGGACTCGAACTGCAGTGAGATCTGGCCATGTGAGATCTGGTTCCCAATGCTCTGTGTTTAACTGCTGTGCTACCAAGGTCTGCTGGCCCAGTTTTGTTTTTGTTTTTGAGAGGTTTCTGCCTTAGGGCATGTGCACTCACTGGGGAGAGAGAGAGAGAGACAGACAGACAGACACAGTCAGAAGGAAAGTGAGAAATCACCACCCTGGCGGGGGACAGCCATGTAGCAATCCTTTCTCCTCCATTTTCCTCCTAAAATCTTGAGCACACATGTACATGTGCCCCGTGTGATTTTCCAGCCACCACGTCTGGGACTTGAACCATGGATTGCCATGTGGAAATCCAGTGACATGACCGCTATGCTATCTGCTGGTCCTTTTTTAAAAAAACTTTAGATTCTTGAACAACAGCTTCAGCAGATGAAAGCAACTTACCAGCTAAACCAAGAGAAACTGGAGTACAACTTCCAGGTGCTGAAGAAGCGCGATGAAGAGAGCACAGTGATTAAGTCCCAGCAGAAGAGGAAGCTCAATCGGTAAGCTGGCCTGCAGAGCTCACTCCTCCTGGGCCCTTCCATGCTGAGAGCAGGGACAGGTAGGCATCTGCCTCCCCTAAAGGGGTAGAAACTTCAAAAATACAATCAACTCTTATTACAAGAGGTGTTTGGAAAAGACACTAAATTCAAGTGCTTCTACCCCTCCCCACAAGTAAAGAGATAAAGAAAAAGTCTTTCTCCCATCTCCTGTTTCCCCACTTCTGTAACCAATGCATGTTTGTTTCTTTCAGAATTTTCTTTATGCATTTACTAGCACAGATAAATATTTTCATCCCAGCTCTGCTTTTACACAGGAGGAGGCATTCTGTGTACACTATTCTGTATCTCGGAGACCCTTTCATACCATTTTGTGAGCGCTTTCCCATTCTTCTTCCTTCCTTCCTTCCTTCCTTCCTTCCTTCCTTCCTTCCTTCCTTCCTTCCTTCCTTTCTGGAGAGGTTTTTGCTATAGGGCACATGCACTTGCCAGAAAGAGACAGAAAGCGAGAAATGGGCCCCCGCCCCCGGGAGATGGCCATGTTGCAATCCCTTCTCCATTCTCCTCTCAGGATCTTGGGCACGCATGCGCATGCACCCAGTGTGAGTTTAAGCCACCGGGTTCAGGACTCAAACCATAGTTGACTACATTGGAGTCCAGCGTCATAGCCATTATGCCCACTGCTGGTCCCTCCCATTTTTTCTTAAGCTACTCAGATGTACTCCTTCTTATTCTATGTGATCCCTTGAATGGATGTTCTCTTGTTTATTTCAGCAGCCTCTGATGATGGTCATGTCTGTCATTTATAGTCTTTTGCTGTTGCAAATAATATCAACATACATACGCACATTGACATGCCTGTGCTTTTGTGCAGATACTCTGACTCATTGCTGAGAATCTCTTACCCATCTTTCCCCTTCCCTCTTGTCTTCCCTGTCTCCTTTCCTTCCATCCCTTCTGCCTTTCTTCCTTTAAGAATTGTCTCTGAGAGGCTGGATGGCGTCCTAGGAGTAAAACACAATGCTCTATAAGGCTGACTGCATGGGAGAGTTCCCAGTCCATGTCCAGAGACCTCCCTGAGTACACTCGAGCATGTATGCTCATGATCTGCGGGTGGCTGAAGGTGGGCGTGGATCTCAGATCTTGGAGTCAAGACCTTGTTGGGGGTGCTCACTCTCCTTTTTCTCCCTCTGTCTCTCTTACTCATGGAAGAAATGAATGAAAAACTTGAAAAGAATGATTCCCTAAGCCCCAGGCCAATATGCCAGGCTCTGAGGATCAGAGTAGAAGAGGATATCTTGTCTACAGAACAGATTTGAGGATGTCCCCCAAAGCCCAAATCACATATTATTTATAAGTGTTTTCACTTGTAGGTTGATTGTACATTTCAGATAAATGTTGAATTTACAGAAGAATTACCACTTCACCTTTTGGTAATTACTTATGACATAAAATGATACTGAATACATGAGCTGGTCTCTCAAGACTGATTATAGGAAAAATGAGATGAGCAGAGGGCAAAATTTATGGAAAAATCCCGCTGTCTGCACTGTACTACCCAGGGGGTCACCAAGCAGAGACGCTTATCCATACAGTGAGACGTCACCTGGGAAACTTCCCAGAGAAGTGAAATAGTGAACAGGGTAGAGGTATGAGTTGGCAAGAAAGAGTTAAGTGGAGATCCAGGTAGACAGTCCTGGTAGCTGGAGTGACAGGCCCAAAGGCAAGGAGGTGTGGGAATCACAAAGTTACAGATGGTGCCATGGGTGAAGAGAGGTTGGTGAGATGCGAGACAGGAGGAGGAGCTTGAGACAGAGCGTGGGTTTGCTGCACATGGAGGGAGAGGAGAGATGAATGGCATCATTCCCACTATCCTTCCTTACCAGTTCTTCTCTGACTTCACACTTTGGTTTCTTGTAGGCTGAAAACGTAGCCGACCCTGCTACTTTTCTCTAAGTACTATGTTTCTCTCTTGCTTTCATTGCCTCTGTCCTTTCCTCATCACCCATTCTTCTCCCCAACATTTTATAACCTGACTTATGTCTTCATTTATTTGTGTTGCTGTAACAAAATACCTGAGACTGGGTAATTTCTCTTTGTTGGGAGTGCGGGGAGAGGTTTTTGCTATAGAGCGCATGTGCTTGCCAGAAAGACAGAGAGAGAGAGAAAGCGAAAAGTCACCCCCTTGGGGGGATGGCCACATTGCCATCCCTTCTCCTCCATTCTCCTCCCAGGATCTTGGGCATGCATGCACATACGCCTGGCATGAATTTAAGCCACCAGGTCTGGGACTCAAACTGTGGTCAACTGCATGGGAGTCCAGTGACTTAGCCATTATGCCATCTGCTGGTCCTGAGACGGGGTAATTTATAAAGAACTTTCATTTATTTTTCACAGTTCTGGAGGCTGGGCAGTCCAAGATCAAGGCATTGGCAGATTTGGTTGTCTGGTGAGGGCTGCATCCTCCAAAGAGGAGGAGTGCTGTGTCCTTACATAGCGCAGATTTGGTTGTCTGGTGAGGGCTGCATCCTCCAAGGAGGAGTGCTGTGTCCTTACATAGTAGAAGAGTGGAAGAGCAAGCTTTGAGCTACTGAGGCCTCTTTAATATGGTCTTAATCCCATCGTTGAGGGAGGAGCCCTCTTAAAGGCCCCTCCTCTTAATACTAACACATTGGCAACACTTGAGTTTTGCAGACACATTCAAACTGTGTCAACCTATGATACCAGAATTGGGCAAACACCTCCCCCACTGGATGCCAATGATGCCCTTGTAGTCAAACACAGTGGCTTTTCCATAGGCTCATCCTATTATTATTGGGTACAGAACCATTCTTTGATTTTTATGACCAAAATAATTGATCTTCTTTTTAAATTTATTCCTTTCATGTTTTCTTTGAGTGGTTCTGCTTTTTCTTTCCTGCTATTTCCTGAATATTCAGATAAGGTGTTCTAGAAAGTGCCAGGCTTACCTGCAGGAATGAGTGAATGAATGAATGAATGAATGAGTTACTGGACCTGTTCATGGTAGCAGCTCTGTGCAGATGGAGAATTCACATGGGCTTTGGGGGTGTGGTTTTAATTTTTTCCTTTCAGTTGTCCTGGTTTCAGAATCAAAACGAACACTGAAATCCTGCCGGTGGAATAGTTGAGATAGAGAATATAGTTACAAAGGTTGGCCCTAGATGTGGACACTCTGACAGGGGGCATGTTGAGGAAGGACTAGGAGACTGTCCTGTGGTGGAAGTGGCTTCTGGAAGACCCGTTCCTCCGGTAGCCTTCCTTTCCTCCATCGCAGCGGGAGCCGTGTTTTGGAACACGTAGGAGGGTTTTCTGCCCTTCTGCAGATCTGACCTGGGGTTTGTCTTAGAGCTGAGTTGGTGGATGAGAGGAACACATATTATATCTTCCATTCAGCTGCAGACTAACATTTTTCCTTAATGTATTATTTATTTAACTTTATTTATTATTATATTATTGTTATTATTTCATTTGACCAGAGAGAGACGGAGAGAAAGAGAGAGGAAAGTGAGAAAGTAAACCGCAAACCACGGTTGGCCAAGAGGGAGTCCAGCGCCTTAACCACCACACCACCTGCCGGTCCCTGCAGACTAACTTTTCTCCCTCTCCCCCAACCAGCCTTCATGATATCCTTAACAATCTGAGATCAAAATATACCAAGCAGATAAAGCAGTTTCAGGAGGAGAACCAGTCTCTGACCTCAGACTACAAACGCCTTGTGATGCAGTTCAAGGATCTCCAGAAAGCCATGAGGTATTTCAGGGACTCGGGTCCTATGGCACCTGCTCCAGAACAGAGGTGGCAGGGCTAGGGCTGGTGGTGGCAGCGATTCTGTTAGACTTGACATCACCCACCTTTGGGAGCCGGACCAGGGCGCTAAGGAACCCTCAGTGCTGTTCCTCTGTCCCTTGTCCACGTGTCGTTGTCCTTGCTTGAGGCTTGGTGGGACGACTTTCGGTTTGGCGTCGTGGGAACCAGCTGCCCAGGGATTGGGCCAGATTCAGGATTTGCCACGTCTTCCTCACGTTCTTGCCTTGCTGCCAAGAGTGGGTCCTGGCCAGTCCCCAGGTGTTCCAGGCTGGCCAGGCCGGGAAGCTGGCCAGGCTCAGTGACTCTCCTTCACAGGCAGTCCACTCTTACCGAAGACAAGAAGTTTCGGGAGATCTGGCTGATGAATGAGGAGGAGGCGAAGATTCTGATAGGCAAAGCCTTTGATGTAGACAGGATCATCCACACCCACCACCTGGGGCTCCCCTGGACGGCACCTGATTTCTGGTTCCTCAAGAACGTGGGGCCCATTTCTCAGCAGCAGCAGAAGTCGGCCACACAGATCGTAGAAGAAGTGCTGATGCTCACAGGTGACGGAATCAGGGCGCCTACGGCTGCGGGCCCTCTAGGGCATCCACCAGCCCAGCCTTTCTGCAGATTAGGAACACACAGCCTAGAGAGGAGAGGGACGAGCTCTCATAGCAAGATGGTCGAGCACGATCAGTTGATGTGGCTTTTAAGTCTAATTTGTAGCTCTGTCCTCGCTGCTCTATGATCAACTGGCAGTTAGAACTGAATGTTTATCAGATGCAGGGTGAATTTATTTTTGCAAGTGCACTGTTGCGTACCTCCAAAGGGACAAGCTACTGCCAGGTCGTCTCTCTGTGCTGTTAGTAACGTTGGTAGCCGTTGTCTAAGATCTGCCGATTGCATCAGGGTTGCAGAATGGTAATATTTTAAGTTCTATCATTATGCATTCATCTATTAGCTAGAACACTTCCGAAAAGAATTCCTCCCTCATCAGCTCCGTTTACTGCCCTGAGATTCGGTTCATACAGGAAAAGCAGGATCGGAGCTTATTTCCTATCTATTACGAGTTTTCGGAATAATAGATTGGGTCTCTACCATCTTCCAAAGGTGCCAATGACTTCTTTTTTTATAATCATTACAAATGCATGAATTTGAACAGATTTTAAAATGTGTTTTAGTTTACTGTAATTATTATCCCTACTGAAGCTGAAATGGCTCATCTGTGGCCAGTGGGAGTCTCTTTATGTGGGCTTTGGGGACTCTGGCTATATCCCTAGTGCTACCTCGATGGCTTCCTGGCTTTGTGGATTGACTGGACGTTTCTGAGCACATTACCCTTTTCCTACCTAAGCCTGGAATCCTCTACTTCTCCAAAGACGCTGGTCCTTTTAAATAGAGTAGTATTTTGAAACCACCCTCTGGGTGCTGACTTGCTCTTTATTTTGAATGGGCCATTGTTTCTAGGCCTTTTCTGTGGGCAGAGCTGAGGGGAAAGATTATTTTTCAATAATTTAAATACTTCTTAATCTATAGGATGCCAGAATTACTTAACGTTATCAACACGTCTCTCCTTTCTCCCAACGTGAAAATGGTGGTGTGCAGGGACTCCAAAAATAATTACTCACAAGCTGTCCCCACAATACCGCAGAATAATTCTAGGAGGAAATACCAACCCAATTACGAAAAACAGTTGAAATGAATAGTTTAAATTTTTTTGTAGTTCTTTTTGACCTCAAAATATATCTCACTGGGGATATACAGACAGATTACTGTATTTTAAAGTCACTTGGAATCGTTTCTATGTGGTTATGTCATCAACGAGATGTACATTTAGGGTTTTATGTTTTGTTTTACTTTTGATTATGAGGCATTTCTTTTTTTATTTTATTTTTATTTATTCATTCATTTATTTTAATTTGAGCAGAGAGAGACAGAGAAAGAGAGAGAGAGAGGGAGGGAAAGCGAGAAAGCAAGCCACTAGGTCTGGGGCTCGACCCATGGTCAGGCATGTGGGAGTGTCCAGCACCTTAACCACCATGCCACCTGCTAGGGATTTCTTTTTATCATTTCATTTTCTTTTGCAATTAATGTAAATATTTACATGCTTCTAAAGTCAGGTGTTCAAAACAAGGTATGTTCAAAGAAGTCTTTCATCCTCTCCACCCTATTTCATCTCTCTCCTAAAGGGAACTATTAAGGAATTCATAGTTGGGGTGGACAGCGGTGCAGCCTGACCCACATCGAAGGTTCCAGGTTGGCGTGAGAGACCTTCCTGAGTACACTGGGCACGTGCGTGCCTATGGTCTGGGGCTGCTGAGCCTGGGGCTGGACTGTGGCATCAAGACTCCGTGGGGGCTTCTGTTTTTTCTCTCCTGTCTCTCTTGCCCTGCCTCACTGTATATTTATAATGACAGATGTTTTAGTAAATGAAAACATATGCTTTTTAACTTTTATCCCCTTACAATAATCTTAAAGATTGTTCTATAGTAGTAAAAAAAAAATTCCTTTGTTTTTTTTTAGTTTTCTTTTTTTTTTTTTAGGTTTGTTGTTGTTGTTGTTGTCGTTAGAGGGTGTGTGTCCTTGCCAGAGAGAGACAGAGAAAGACAGAGAGAGAGGGAAAATGAGAAATCACCCCCCAGGGGATTGGCCATCCCAAAATTCCATCTCCTCCATCCTCTTGGGATTTTGGGCATGCACACACAAGTGCCTGGTGTGATTTGTTAAGCCGCTGTGTCTGGGACTCGAACTACAAAGTTGGCCACATGGAATCGAGCTGCTTTAACCTCCATGCCACCTGCTGGCCTCTGAGAGGCTAATTTTTAAGGGGTAAATTTCCGTGGCTGGCTAGTTGGTACAGTGGTAACGTGCTGTTCAGGTGATGCTGGCTGGATCCATATGGAAGCTTCCCTGGTCAACCTCCACGTGCCAGCCACACACCCATAATCCTGGCTGGCTGGGGAGGCTGGGAGGAGGGATACCGCAGCGCAAGACCCTGCTCAGGGTGTCTGTGTGCATCTCACTGTCCCATGAGAGAAAGGAGGTTTTAAGAAAGAAAATTTTCCTTAGGGAAAGCTATCTCCCTGTTTCTCAAAGTCATCAAGGCTGAGAAATGATCTTCCTTTCCTTCTCTCTCTTCTCTCCACGGCCCTTTGTAGAAGAGGATGGGGCAGAAGAGGCCACCTCAGAACATGAGTCTTACCTGGACCTGCCCAAGCAAGTTTCCGCACAAACTACCCGAAAGATCCTGATGCTGCTGTGTGACGAGTCGGTGAGGCTGCTTCTGAGGCGTCTGCAGGGTCAGCTGTGGCCTGAGTCGGGGTTGATCAGCACTCCTCTGGCCAAGCCCAGGGACCGGCCGTGAGCAGTAGAATTGGGGTCAGGCCCTGGACTTTGAGGGACAGTTCACAGACAGCCATGCCTCAGAGCCCGCAGCTGGCCATGGGCCTCCCCTCAGTGGGCCCACGAGGCGTAGCTCTGGCCAGCCGGTTCTGAGACAGAGGGCGCACAGCTCACGTCCCGCTGAGCGATGTGTCACACTGATCACGGGGACTCTGTCTGAGGTTCCTCTGGGTACGTTCACCACCTACCTCTGTGTTTTGTGTTAGCAAAAACAACCGAAATGCAGGCTGCATCGGAGCCGGCTCAGCTGGAGTAAAATCAGTGTTCGTTTATTGTGGTTTATGGCTCTGAGATAGTGAAAGAGGTGGAGCGAGGGTTGGTAGCCTCCAGGTTGCTTGGGGTGGCGGGGCAGTTTTCTTTGGCTCAAGGACTGGCTTCTGTCACTGAGGGCAGCTCCTTCTGAAGGAGGTGGAGGGCCCTCCCCTCCTTTCCTGCAGGCCTGATGCTGGTGGCCCTGGCCATGGAGCCCTCCCCGAGGCTTCCAGCTTACACGGGCATGTGCGTCTTCTCCACTTCCCCGCCCCTGGGTGCATCATGCCCTGACCCGGCCAGCCACCTCGCTCCCTGCCATCCTCCCCCTGCTCAGTGCCTCCGCTGTGTTCCGTGGACACTTGGAGTGGGAATATGGATGGCCAAGACTGCTGTGGGGAGCCCAGGTGTTTGTCCAGCGCTCGTGGGTGAGGTCGCTAGGCACTCCTCTAAATCCACAATGCAGATATGCTTCATGCCCGGCTTGCTCCTGGGAGTGGCTCTTAGGAATCCCGAGAAGGCCTTCCTCTGGGGACCTGCTGCCCAAAGTCCTATTCCTCGTGGCTTTGCTCCCTGGAGCTGTCCTTGCAGACCCTGGGACTCGTTCCTGAGACCTGTCACTTAGTGGAGACGCCTCCCCTCTTCCTCCTCCAGGGCTTCCTCATAGAGAATAAGCTGCAGAGCCTTCTGCTGCCCCTGGAGAAGAGCGAGTGCTATCTGCTGAGGCTGGACGCCATCTTCTCCGTGAGTCCCACAGGAGGGCGTGACCTGCCTCATTCTAAATCAGACATCTCCAGATGTCGCCGCAGCCCGCGGAGTAGGTGGGGTTCTCCCGGGGCGTCCCTGAAGTTCCTGTCACGTCCTGCTGGTGACAGACATCAACTTGGCCTCCAACTTGTGTAGGCACCCCCTCTGTTCCTCTAGCTTCTCTCCCTCATGACCCGACTCCCAGGTTGTAGGGCCTCCTCGCACCCCCGAACTCAGACACGCCTTCAGCATTCTCACACCCACCAGCTCTTGACACCCCGAGCCTCGCTTCTGTGGTGTGTGTGTCCCTGATTTCATGGTCGTCTCCCAGCATTGGATGAACGCCCCGTCCTCTGGCCGGGGCGGGCATCAGGGGTGCCGGGGAGAGCAGGCGGGCCTCCTGCTCTGAGGAGCTGAGGGCTGTTAGCCCTCGTGCCTGTGGCCTCTTTGCTGGGGTGTTTGAGCAGCCATCTCACTTTTCCCCCAGGCCCTTGGAATTGAAAGTGAGGATGACTTGTATAAACTCGTGACCTTCTTTCTTAAATACAGAGCTCGTCACTCACTCTCCGACCAGGTAAGGGGGGGTGCAGATGGAAAGAGCAGTTTTCTCCTGGACGCCCCCAGAGTGCATTGTCGCCTTGAATAATACTTCTGGAGAAATAGGGAGAGTTTTATGTCAGGAATAGTGAATTTAGCATTTCCCTTATTATTTTTTATTCTTTGTTTTTAAGAATTATTTATTTTATTTATTTATCATTATTATTATTATTATTATTATTTTTAATTTGACCAGAGAGAGAGAGAGGGAGAGAGAAAGTAAGAAAGCAAGCCACCAGGTCTGGGACTTGAACTGTGGTTGATCATGTAGGAGTCACTTACTGGCCCCTCCCTTATTGTTATTTTCAAATTGCAAAGGAAAGAATGGCTGGGGGCAGGGCAAGATGCTTTTTTTTTTTTTTTTAAGAGAGATTTTTTACTACAGGGCACATGTATTTGTCAGAGGGACAAAGAGACAGAAAGCAAAAAATCACCCCCTAGGTGGGATGTCCACAATGCAATCCCTTCTCCTCCATTCTCCTCTTGGGATTTTGGGCATGCATGTACATGCATCTGGCATGATGTTTAAGCCTCTGGGTCTGGGACTTGAACCGTGGTCGACTATGTGGTAATCCAGCACCTTCATCACTACACCACCTGCTGGCCTCTAGATGCTATTTTTATATTGAGGCCCAACGAGTCTTTTCTTATCCCCTCACTCAAAGCCAGGCCTTAGCCACTGTGAGACACAGACCCTCCAAGTTCATTTTGATCCTTAACACTTTCTTACAAAACAGGGCCCATTTTTAATACATATCTTGATTATAACTGATTTCAGTAGAAGAGTCAAATATCAACCATTCTGGGGACCAGCAGTTGGCGCAATGGCTATATCACTGGACTCCCATGTAATCGACTGCAGTTTGAGTCCCGGACCCGGTTGCTTAAACTCACACTGGGCACGTGTGCGTACGTGCCCAAAATCCTGAGAGGAGAATGGAGAAGGGTTTGCGCCATGGCCACCTCCTTGGGGGGGGTGATTTCTCGCTTTCTGTTTCTCTATCTCTCTCTGTTTTTCTGGAGAGCACACACACCCTATAGCAAAAACCTTTCCAAAAAAAAAAAGACGACAACCATTCTGAAGAAATTTCGTATTAGGGGCCAACAGGTGGAGTGGTGGTTAAGAGCACTGGACTCCTACATGGCCAGACACAGTTCGAGTCCTAGACCTGGTGACTTGTTTTCTCACTTTCCCTCTCTGTCTCTTACTCTGTCCCTCCCTGATCAAATTAAAATAAATAAATAAAGTCAAATAAAAGAATTTCTTTAAAAAAGAAGTCCCATATTAAAATTATTGTACAATTTTAATTCAAAAATTAAAAATTTGAATTAAAAAAAATTTTTTTTGAGAAGTTTTTGCTATAGGGCGCATGCGCTCGCCAGAAAGACAGAGAGAGACAGAGAGACAGAAAGCGAGAAATCACCCCCAAGGGGGGATGGCCATGCCACAATCCCTTCTCCTCCATTCTCCTCTGGGGATCTTGGGCACACACATACATGTGCCCATGTGAGTTTAAGCCACCGGGTCCGACCAGCGACTTAGCCATTGCGCCAACTGCTGGTCCCCAAAAATGTTTTTAATATCACAAGCCCTAGAGTGAGTATCCTGATAGTCTCTTCCAAAGAGAATTGGCTAAGTGGATAACACCTAAAAGCTATTTTTTTTTTTTAAAAAGAGATACATTTGATGATATTAAAACCAATTCTGTAGGGCAAAAATCACTTTACAAAAATTTCAGAAACAAATGACAAACCAAGGGAAAATATTTTGAATTCATATCACAGCTATGAGCTAATTTCTTTTATAAAGAGTTCCCACAAACCGAAAAGAAAAAGACCAACATCTCAATGGAACAGAGAAAGTTATGAACCTCCTAGAAGAGGCATATGAAAAGGTAATCAGGCTTCCTTGTAAGAAGAGAAATCCAGTTATAACTTTATAGATTCAATTTTTTACTTGTCATATTGGTAAAAATCAGAAACTATTTTTTCAAGAGAGATTTTTGTTACAGGGCATGTGTGCTCGCTGGAGAGACAGAGAGAGACAGACAGGAAGTGATTGGCCATGCCACAATCCTTTCTCCCCCATTCTCCTCTCAGGACTTTGGGCACACATGCACATGCACCTGGCGCGAGTTTTAAGCCTCTGGGTCTGGGACTCAAACTGCGGTCGACTACAGGGGAGTCTAGTGAGGTAACCGTTACGCCATCTGCTGGCCCGAAAAATCAAAAACTTGGATAACACACAATGATGACAGGTGTGGGACACAGGCACATTCATAAATTCTTCAAAGGAGTCTAAAGTTTTGTAATCTCCATGGAGGACAATTTGACAATATCAATTACAAAACATGAACTACAAAAGTGTACTGTGCATGGGAACCAGCAGTTAGCGTAATGGCTATGTCGCTGGATTCCCACGTAGTCGACCACGGTTCACGTCCCGGACCCGGTGGCTTAGAATTCATGCTGGTTGCGTGTGCGTGCGTGCCCAAGATCCCGAGAGAAGAATGGAGGAGAAGGGATTGTGGCGTGACCATCCCCCCTGGGGGGTGATTTCTCGCTTTCTGTCTCTATGTCTCTCTCTGTGTGGTGAGCGCACACGCCCTATAGCAAAAAGCTCTCAAAAAATAAATAAATAAATAAAGTGTACTGTGCATTACTCTGCAATTCCTCTTTTAGGATTTTATATACATATCTATATTTAATATTTTATAAACATGTTATATATATTTTATATTTTGTAGGATTATCTATCATCTATATAGTTGAAATGTGTTTATTGTAGCCTCCTCACTGCAGCAGTGTTTGAAATGACAGAAGATTGGAAACAAATGCCCACCATTATGGAATTTATTTAATACTGTACTCTATGTGCATCTACACAATAGGGTATTATGCAACTATAAAAAACACTCCAAGGAACAAAGAAGTTCTTTATGTATTTATATAAAATACTGAGGTTGAAGCCATCAGGTGGTGTGGTGGTTAAGGCACTGGACTCCCACATGGCCAACTCCCACGTGTTCGAGTCCCAGACCTTGTGGCTTTGAAATCATGCCGGGCATGTGTGCGTTTGTGCCCAGAATCCCAAGAGGGGAGTGGAGGAAAGGGGATTGTGGTGTGGCCATACCCCAGTGCGTGCTTTCTCATTTTCCCACTCCCTGTCCCTCTCCGGTGAGTGCAAGTGCCCTATGGCCAAAACCTGAAAACCGAAACAATGGTTTATTGCTCTTGGACAAAGCAAAGTGCAGAACTTGCCTGTGTAAGTAAGTTCTTACCTACTTGTGCAGAATAGTAGCTTTACGTAAAAATGGAAAGAAAAATAAATACACTTGGAGTCAGTAGGTGGCATAGAGGTTAAAGCATTGGACTCCCACATGGTTGACCACGGTCTGAATCCTGGACCCGGCAGCTTGAAACTCACCTTGGGCTAGTGTGTGTGCATGCCCAAAATCCTGCGAGGAGAATGGAGGAGAAGGGATTGTGGTGTGACCATCTGCCCTGGGGGGTAATTTTTTGCTTTTCTCTCTCTCTCTCTCTCTGGTGAGCACACATGCTCTATAGCAAAAATCTCTCAAAAATATACATGCACTTTTAAGTAATATTTATATATTTTACAAGTAAGGAAACTTAAAAAAAAAAATTGTACCTGGGAACCTCAGGGTGTGAAAGGCTCCACTTAAGAGCTCATTCCTGGATAGCATTTCTTAATACTCCCAGAAAGGGAACTACATTAACCTGTTGGTGGCTTTTGTGTGCACTTTCTCTCTATATATATATGTGTGTGTCTGTGTGTGTGTGTGTTTACTTACATAGATGTATATTTCTTTGGAAGGATACATAAGACACTTGGTAGCATTAGTTTGCCCGGGGAAGGTAAATTGAATAAACTGTAAGAGATGAGGAAGCGGAAAACTTTTTTAAATTGAAAGATTAAAACAAGGGGCCAACAGGTAGCATAGTGGTTAAGGTACTAAGTTCCCACATGACCGACCACATAACTGACTGCGGTTCTAGTCCTGGAAGCAATGTCTTGAAAATCACGCTGGGCACTTGTGTATGTGTGCCCAAATTCCTAGGCAGAGAAGGGATTGTGTCATGGCCATCACCCCGGGGGTGATTTCTCACTTTCCCTCTCACTGTCTCTCTCTGCCTGGTGCAGGCTCCCTATGGCGAAAACCTTCAAAAAAAAAAAAAATTAAACCAAAAAGGGGCCAGCAGGTGGCATGGAGGGTTAAGGCGCTGGACCCCATAGGGCCGACTCTGATTCGAGTCCCACACCCAGCAGCTTGAGAACACTCTGGGCCATGTGAACGCATTTCTAAAAATCCCTAGAAAATGGAGAAGGGATTGCAGTGTGGCCATCTTCCCTTTGGGGGTGATATTTTTCCTTTCCCTTTCTCTTTCTCTCTCCAGTGAGTGCATGTGGCCTATAGCAAAACTAAGAGAATAGAATAGAATAGAATAGAATAAAAGAAAATTTATTTTCTATTGTGATTCAAAAGGATATCTGTAACTCGTATGGTATGAATATCAATAACATGAATATCATGAACCTGGGTGTAGAAATAGACCACGATTGCTGTTTTGAAGCCCCCATGTTCCTCGTTCCCACCCTGTCCCTTCTTTCCTCTCATTCTCCTTTCTCCTTCCGTCCTTGTGTAAACGTCTCCCTCCGCGAGTTCCCCGTGACTTTCCCTTGCCTTTTCTCTGTTTCCTTCTGTCCTGACCGTGTTCACACACTCAGGCTGTGTATGCCCCTTTC